CACACTGCAATCCCTTCCCCTCCATTCTCCTTTAGAGATTTTGGGCATGCTTGTACACACACCCAGCGTGAGTTTCAAGTCCCTGGGTCCAGGACTCAAAATGCCATGTTGGGGGCCAGCAGATGGCATGGTGGTTAAGGCGCTGGACTCCCACATAGCTGACCGTGATTTGAGTCCTGGACCTGGTGGCTTGCTTTCTCACTTTCTCTCTCTCTCTGTCTCTGTCTCTGGTCAAATGAGCATAAATGAATAAATAAATAAAATTAAATAAATTATGCTTTAAAAAAGGAAGAAACTGCTGTCGTAGCTGACCCGTTCTACGCAGTTAGGCCAACGATGGCCGGGGGTTGTGTCTGTACTAAGCATGTGCAGACTCTTTTTTCCCTTGTGATTATTCCCTAAACAATTCAGTGTAAGGACTCCCTGCACAGCACGACACGGCGTTGGATACTGTAAGTCACCTGGAGACGGTGTCAAGGATACGAGAAGGTGGGGGTAGGTTACGTGTAGACTCCGCACTATTTCCGTATGGGGCTGGACGTCTGCAGATTTGATCCCCCACAGATGCCAAGGGACAACTGTATCACAGACCGGGTGGCGAAGATGACGGAGATGCAGTCTCTCCCAGTTCTGGAGGCCAGAAGCCGGAAACCCAGGTGTCACAGGGCCGTGTCTCTCTCAGGGCTGCAGGGCAGACTCCTTCCTTCCTTCCCTCGGCTACTTGGGTGACTGCAGGTGATCAGGAACCCTCCTGATCTCACCATCACATTCGTTCTCTGACTCTAGGGCCACATGGAGCTCTCCCTGCAAATCGTCATCTTTTTATAAGGACAGCAGTCGCCTATTAGAGCCACCCTAATCCGGTATGACATCACCCTAACTTGATTATGTCTGCAAAGACCCTGTCTCCATGCGAGCATGCGTTCCCAGCTACTGGGGTTTAGGACTTGCACGTGTGTTCAGGGAGGATGCAGATCTACCCATTACGCAGCCCTTTGATGTGTGTGTTAAGGTTGGCTATGAGATAATGCAGAAAAGGGTCGGCAGGGGGCATGGTGGTTAAAGGCACGGGATTTCCACAGGGCCGACTGCTGTTCGAGTCCCAGACCAGGCAGCTTGCTTTCTCCCTTTCCCTTTCTCTCTCTCTGTCTTCCTCTGGTCAAATGAAAAAATAATAACAACAAAGGGAATTAAATAAATAATTCTTAAGGGGGAAAAAAAAGGGAGAGAGATACTGCAGAAACAAATATACGCCAAATCTCAGTGAATGTTTTATGTGTGTGTTTCCCTTACAAAAGTAAGTAGGTCTGGTTTCATTTTTTTATAAAGAATTATTTTATTTAGCTTTATTTATTTATTTTAATTTGATCAGAGAGGGACAGAGGGTGTGTGAGAGAGAAAGAGAGAAAGAGAGAATGCAAGCTGCCAGGTCTGGGGCTCAAACCATGGTCGGCCATGTGGGAGTCCAGTGCCCCTAAACACCATGCCACCTGCCGGCCCCATTTTTTTTTAACCTTTTTTTTTTTTCAGTTTTTTTCTAGAGATCATATGGCTAGTCATTGAGAGACAGAGAGAGGGAAAGGGAGAAAGCACTCCCCAATGGGGTGTGGTCACACCACAATCCCTTCTCCTCCATTTCCACATCCTGCCCAGATTTCGGGTATGCATGAACCTCCATCTGGTATGTTTCTCAAGCTGCCAGGGCCGAGGTTTGAATTGCAGCGAGTTATGTGAGATCAGATTCCTTTAACCGCTAGGCCGCAGGGCCACACCCTGGTTGCTCTCATTAGTGACTTTGCCACATCAACATGGGCTCCCAGGGTGACCACAGCAGGGGACCAGAGCTCTCAAGGTGGCCCTGGAGTGATCGCCGGAGCTCACCAGCAAACCCGTCACCTCTAGATACTGCTTGTGCCCTCCTTGTCCCCTGGGCCATAGTCACCTGGGACACTGCCACTGCGGTGCTGGGCACTGAAGTCTCTCTCTCACCAGGTGCTGCTTCTGCCCCTGTAGCCGTCTCCAAATGGGCACCAAGCACCTACACCGGGTATCAGTGCCCTTGGAATGCCAAGACTATGGAAGTAGTGAAGAGGTGCAGTCAAGTTGCCCTCTGCCAGAAAAGACCCAAAGCTATGCTGTTTAGACCCCAATGTCTTTTTTTTTTTTTTTTCTTTTTTTGGAGAGGTTTTCACTATAGGGCGCTCACCAGAAAGAGAGAGATGGAGAGACAGAAAGCAAGAAATAACCCTCCCAGGGGGGATGGCCATGCCATAATCCCTTCTCCTCCATTCTCCTCTCGGGATCTTGGGCACGCACACACACGTGCTCGGTAAAAAGCCACCGGGTCCAGGATTCCAACCACAGTTGACTACATGGGAGGCCAGTGACATAGCGTAATGCTAACTGCTGGTCCCCCCAATGTCTTTTTTTTTAATTTTTATTTTTGCCATAAGGCATGTGTGCTCACCGAAGAGAGGAAAAGTGAGCAGTCACCCCCGCTCCTGCTCCCCCAAGGGAGGATGGTCACACCACGATCCCTTTTGCTCCATTCTCTTCTTGGGATTTTGAATATGCAAACACATGCTCCCAGTGTGATTTTTCACACTGCCAGTCCAGGACTCGAACCATGGTTGACTATCTGGAAATCCAATGCCTTAACCACCAAGCCACCTGCTGGCCACTAGGCCCCAATGTCTTAGAAAGACTTTTTGGAAATGATTAAAACTCAAATTGGCCAAGTGATGTCGATGAGCAAAACTGAGTGAAGTGAGTCACATGCAAGGCAATAGAGAATGGCGAGAACTGTGGCAAAGCAAAGAACATGCCTCATCTAAAGGGGACAGCCGCCACTTAGCTTCCACTAATTTTTGCCGTATGGAAACTGGCACCAGTATTACCAGGTCTTTGAGCATTTTACCAGAACACCAGAAAGTCCGATTTTGACATGAAGTTTCCCAAATTTCAAAATGCTGTTCAGGCTGGATTCAGCCCACAGGCCACGAGTTTGCAACCCCTGTTTTAGTGAGACAACTTTTTCCATTTTCACTCCCAGCTCTGGGCTTTCCAACTTGGCTCTCTGGCTATCCACAGGACATGGACACGACCCAAATGGAGCTGAGCCAAGAAGCAACCCCTGCCCCCAGCTGATGGTAGACTTGCCCTCCCCAAAGCCAAGGCTTCTCACTAGGTCAGGCTGATGGGCTCTGTGCCCGCTTGTGGGGCCAGGTCCCTTCCAAGAGGCTCCCTTCAGCCTGACGCTGGCAGTCGGCAGCACACGCCTGGCAGGCAAGCCTGTACTTGTCTGAAGCCCACTGAGACCCGCTGCAGAGGCTTTTCCGGCCCTTAAGATAAAGACCAGACAACAACATGACCTCCAAAGCCCTTGGTGCAAACCGCTGCTGCCGCTGTCAGTCTATGCCCCTGTTCTTGTGACCCCCAGTCCCATCCTGTCCCTTCCCAAGCAGATCCTTGCTGACCCCCACCACCAGTCCCATCTGCTTATCTGGCACCCCGACCCTTTTCAGCCAGTGGGAACTTCCTCTTCTCTTGCATCTGACTGTCTTTCATCTCCAGGACTTTGTATGCGATGGTCCCTAGATTGTGCTGGAAACACCTCCCCTAACACCCCCACCCAGCACTCCCATCTCTTTAGATCTTCAGATCACAGTGTAGGGGGTATTTCTTCCGGAAGCCTTCCTTGACCTATGCTAAATAGTTCAGGGGCTGAGGTCAGGCTCATTCAGTGTGTTGGAGTTCTCCATCAAAACTTAGTGGGACCAGCAGTTAGCGTAATGGCTGTTGCTGAACTCCCATGTAGATGACCGTGGTTCGAGTCCTGGACCCGGTGGCTTAAACTCATGCTGGGCGCATGTGTGTGTGTGTGCCCAAGATCCCAAGAGGAGAAGAGAGGAGAAAGGATTGCAGTGTGGCCACCCCGGGGGGGGGGGGGATTTCTCACTTTCTATCTCTTTCTGGCAAGTCTATCTCTTTCTGGCAAGCACATGAGCCCTATAGCAAAAAATTAAAAATAAATAGATAAAAATTTAAAAAAAAAAAAACCTCTTCAAAAAACTTAGCACTGAATTGTCTTTCCTGAGAGAAGGAAGGGGCATGCCTCTGCAACCAGGACCACCCCTACTGTGTTCCTGTCCTCCATCCAGCACCTGGCACTGTGCCCCAGGTCAAGGAAGGGCTTACCTATTTGCAGAAGGAAGGAAAGTGGGAAGGGAGAGAGAAGCTAGGACCCTCTACTTAATCTGTGTCCACTTTTTTCTCTCTCTCTCTCTCTCTCCCTCTCGCCGCTCAACTCACCTCTCACTGGCTCCTTCTCTAAACATCTAAAATCTCTGCTTCAGCCCATCCCTTCCCATTCCAGGCTCCTGCTCCAGGGAGTGCAGGGCGTCCTGGCCTGGGTGTCCCTCCAAGTAACACTGCTCTCCAACCTCAGGACCTCAAGAGTCTAGAGCGGTCTCTCCAGATGTTTCCCAGCAAGCGGTCCCTAGGCCCTACACCCGGGTTGGAGGCTAGGAGGAGGGTACAGAGGTCGCACCCTAAAGGTGAATACAGACGCCTGGGGTAGCCCAAGGGGAGAAAAGAGGTGGAGAAAAGAAAAAAGCAGGAAAGAGGAGGAGGGCGAGTGGGGGCTGGGGCGGAGAGGGGCGGGCCCGAGCGCGCCCCCTCCCCCAGTCCGTGCTGCTTGCGCCCTCCCAGCCCAGCCGGCCACATCTGGCGGCTGCCCTCCCTGGTTTCCGCTGCTTCCAGACTTCCTCAGGCGGTGGCTGGAGGCTGCGCATCTGGGGGTTTAAACGTACAAAGGGATTTCCAGGACCTGCGGGAACAGGAGGCGGCGGTGCCGGCTGGGGCGCAGGGGCCAGACCATGAGCCACTGAGCCAGGCGAAACCGAGGCGGCTGAGCAAGCGGACCCACCGGACGCTGCACCGCTCGGCGGGGCGGGCGGCCAGCACGGG